CCTCTCTCACACACAGACAAGGACTACAGCGTGTGTAGGATTTTAGGGTTTGTTGTGTGTGTGTATTTGTGTGTTTGTGTGTGTATGTGTGTGTTTTTTGTGACTATAATATAGATACACACACTTCAACATACTGTATATATGCAGCAGCTTCATGGGTTTAACTGTTTATAAGTGTAGATTTGACTACTGAAAAATCATACAATTGTTTACTTTACTTGATAAATTTTGGTCTCGTTTAATAGTCTGCAAACCATAAGTTATTAAATTGTATGTATATATGCTCGGGTTCTAGATCAAGAACTTCAACGAGAATAAATTTTAAGGGTAAATTTACGGTTGCCCCTGAGGTAATGTCAAATTACGAAGAAACTCCTCATGTTTGGATGATTACAACCACCACCCTCAACTATGAATCTTCTTACACGTCTATCATTGTAGTGTCAAATTAGTGGAATCTTATAGATTATATGGAATATTCTCAAGTTTGTACCCGTTTTATCCCATTCGAGCTCCACATTTTGAAGCAAGATTGTACATAACAGATTGTGATGCATCAGAACCTGCATTTTGCACAAAACGAGTATAAACTCGAGAACATTCCATGGAATCTAGAACATTATGTTGAATTTGACACCATCATGGTGGACGTGTAAGAAGATTCATAGTTAGGGATAGTTGTAATTACCCAAACATGAGATTTTTTTGCAATTTAACCTTACTTCATGGAGGTGATTATAATTTTACCCTAAATTTAAATGATATTCAAGATTTTTTGACATAAAAATATTTTGTTATTAGTCAAAATGAAAATATATAGTCATATGGAGTGATTTTGAATAACATAAACTAGATGGTTAGTTGACTATGATATATATAATTTAATTTCAATCGAAAAAATAGTAAAATATCGGGATGTATTGGTTTAAATCTCATAAGAAATAGATTTAAGTTGGGGTTTGGTCAAAATTGAAATTTTATAAATATTATTGGGAAAAATTGCAGGTCTCACCCCCCAAATTTGTATGAATTTCACATTTAGTTCCCAACGTTCACAAAAAAACACATTTGGTCTTTCACGTTAATTTACTGTCAGTTCGTCCGTTAAGGCATGCACATGCTTGATTTCGTTAGTCCAAACGAAAAATTAACGGAAAGTACTAGATATGTTGAATTATTGAAACATGAGGGATCAAATGTGATGCTTGTAAACATTGAGGACCAAATATGAAATATGTACAAATTTGAGGGATGAAAAAGTATATTTTCCCCGTATTATTGCTAGCTAATTAGAGTAGTTGTGATTGCATTATTACTTTTTGCGGCACACTGTATACTAATTATCAAGAAATTAATGTAGTTAAACTTTATTTGCTTCCTTTAATTTTCCAGAAATTAAAGCTGTTTTAAAATAGGCTGTCGCTTTGAGCAGTGCCAGCCAACAGCGCCGCCCACGCCACCACCCCACCACCACCACCACCCCACCGCATGCCCACTATCCATTAACTGCAACTTGCCCTTTCATTTTTTTTTTTATGGTCCATTGAGCTAAAATATATACTTGGGATTTAACCATATTCATTTACTTCAACCATAAGTATCAAACAAATTGGTTTATACTATGCTATTTTGGGTGAAATACAACACCTGGTAGATTTTTACCATTTAAAAGCACGCAAACACACACACCCACATTGGTGTGTGTAGATCAACGGTAAAAATTCACCGAGTATAGCGTAAAAACAAACCCAAACAGAGTATCAAATATCAGACGTGGCAACAATTAGAGAAAACTTATGTTAAGGTGGTGTTTGCAAAAGCTTCCTAAAAGTGATTTCGAGATTTTTTTGTTCAGAATCACTTTAAAAGTGTTAGCAATGTGAGCATTTGCTTCTACTTCTCTTATAATAAGTTGTTATAAGTTCAAACACAAAAAACACCGTTTGATCAACTTCTCTTAAATAAGTTGATTTTTTATGAAATTTACAAATACCTCCAACTTCTAAAAATTATAAACAATTATCACTAATTTAACTAATAATCACCAGCTTCTGCTTTTTTCAAAAGATCTTACAAACACTAACCTAAGTAGTGTAAAGTAAAGTTAGCCGAAAAGCCAAATGGTTAGGAAGAAAGCGAAGTAAAGCCCTTCACTTTATTAAATTATTAATCATCTTTTTCCAGTGTGAATTTGAGCCCTCAAAAATTTATGTTTGTGTATAATAGTGTTGTAAGCATGGCAACGGCGGCGTGACAGAGTGTTTTATTCTCACTTTTTCTTAATTATTATATGTTATTAATTTATTTTATTATATAGTATCTTCAATATTGCAAAAGCATAATTTCAGTCGTCCTTTATTACTATATATATAAATTTCAAATCAATATTGCAAATAAATTTTAAATGCATCAAAAATAATCATCAAAGAAATCTTTTGAGTACAATTTATTGTATAAACATTCTCGAGTTTATTTACATATATAGTTAAACATCTATAAATTAATGTAATGGGATCAATTAATTTCTGTTAATTTAACGAAATATCCAATCAAGTTAAATATGTGAACTCAAGGATTAAGACGTGTCAAACCCACGTCCCATGGTTATATATTAATTAAAATTGAAACATCAAATCTCGTGAAATCTCTCTAATTAATAACGGATTAAAGTGAGTACTTCAAGATTTTGTCAATTATCATACCCAATGGAATATGTTCCAAAAAAAAATGGGAATTAAGAAAATTTGTAAATATTAAATTTTAATTTTCTTAATGTTGTATATAACTTTAGAATACAAATATTGAGTTAATTATATTTTTTTCACTATTTCCCTTATTTCTTCTGAATTCACAAGTGCCGAAAGTAATTAATTAATAAATAATCAGTTGGAAGAGTAATTTGATGCTATCTATGTAGCACGAACACGGAAATGACCTTACGGTGATGACTGATACGGGAAAACGGGAAAACAGGCACATGGAAGCGGCATGCCCAAAAAATAGGAATATGGGAATTTACGGAAACGTTAAATTAAAAGTATGGGAGTATATTTATAAACATGTTATTTAAGTGTGAAATAATTATGAAAGAAACAAAAAATAATTATGAAAGCAACAAAAAATATTTGGAAATTCGTTATTCATACATGTTTCAAACTTTTTTAAAGTTGCAAAATGGTCCGTAAGATGTTTGACAAGTGTCATCGAACGTCGGACACAAAATGTGTTCGATTCGCAATCTTTAAGAAGTTGAAGTTTCCGTACTACATAAATTATATCTTTTCTAGAATCAATACACATTAAAAAAAAAAAAAAAAA